TCTTCAAGTCTCCGGGCGTCAGTGCATTTGCTGATATGTTCCGCCACTGCCTGCAACTTCTGCAACGTGGCTTGATCTGGTTTCTGACCCAGGGAAAATAAGTGCTCCCTTGCATTTTCAACCTGTCCTAAACTGCAAGTTTTATAGGAATGAGATTGCGCTCAATCAAGAAAGTTTTACATTAGCAAATAACAAGGCCAGCAAAGATAAGCAAAATAACACATTTCCCGCGTAATATCTAAAATAACCTACAGAAAGTTCACCGCATTTTCAATATTGATGATCAACAATAAGCAAACGGGTATGTAGATTCTAAAGATTTGAACATTACATATCACTTGCCCAAGTAACAAAGATAATCAATTATCGTATTTAACACTTAATCTCCTATACAGCCTACATAAATTTCACCACATTTCCAAAATTTGTTAAACTGTTTCGCGAACACACACACAAGAGACTCTAAACGTTTGAACTGCCTATATCACTTACCTAAGTAGCACAGATAATCAAATATAGCACATTTAACACTTAATCTCCAATACAACCTACATAAATTTCACCACATTTCCAATATTCGTTTATAACTGATTCGCGAACACACACACACACACAGATTCTAAACAGTTGAACCTTTTATGTCACTTACCTAAGTGGCAAAGATAACCAAATATAGCACATTTAACACGTAATTTCCGATAAATTTCACCACAATTCGTTGATCACTATTCGCGAACACACACAAAAAAGATTCATTGCACTTACCAAAGTAACAAAGATCCCAAACGCTGGTGTGCTCGAACATATGTTGGAGATAATCTAATGGCTTCTTCACATTCCTTCACTGCTTCGATTATTCGCTTAAGACCCATTAACGCAGCAGCTCGATTACAATGAAATCTACCATCGCCCGGAGAAATTGCTATAGCTTTATCATAAAGACTCAACGCTTCTGCAAAATTACCCTTCTTGTAAATCTCATTCGCTTGTGTATTCAACTCCTCCGGATTATTTTTCGAACTGGAGGCAACACCACTGGATTCCGGCGAAGCACGACGGGTTTTCGGCATTGCACCACCAGGCATTATGCTTCCGTAGCCGTACATCCCGGGTATCATCTCATTGTCATTTAACACAGTCCTTTCAGGCTTACAACGCATCCCAGTTATCACGTTACCGGACGGGCAAATATTCCCGGCGGGAACTATTTTAATTTTCCGGGAACCCGAAGAAGTCGAAGAACTCACATTCCGACCAGATACCGATGCAGATGAACCCGAAGTGCTCCTTGTATTACTAGAACTCATTCGACTCCTCAATGTTGAAACAGGTGAACCCAGTCTCAGTACTCGAGGATCGTCTTCCTCAAACCTCATAGAATTTTTCATCTGATCAGCTAAAGAGCTTGAACCCTTTTCAGAATCACTCTTCTTTTTAGAACCCGACATTTTTTTTTGAACCTACTATGTTAGAGAATTGAAAACTGTAAATAACAACAAAATGGAAAAAATGGCTTTGAAGAAGAAGGACGGAGAAAAAAATGGGAGGAAAGAGAATCTCTCTAAAACCCCATAAATAATCTCCTCTTCTTCTATACAATTCAAGAAGGTGATTTTTGAACAAATGCACCAATGTATATATATCCCTTAGAACTTCAATTTTGAACTGGGTTTCTCTGTAATTGTAAAAATTGACTGAAACAACTTACAATGTTAGAGAATTGAAAACTGTAAATCAATCACCAACATGAAAATGGAAAAAAATGGCTTTGAAGACGAAAAACTGGGGGTGAAAAAAAGATGGGGATCTCGTGATTTCAATGGTAGAAACAAAGAACGAATGTCAGCTTTTTCTAGAGAGAGAAACAAGCGGTTTACAGAGAGCGGTTAACAGAGAGCTTGTATACTGTTACAGAGAGCTTGTTGAAGAAGAAGAAGGATGCGGAGAGGAGGAACTATTTATATACTATTACATATATTAAATTATTATTTTTAATTATGATGATTTTAATTAAAAAAATATTTTTTAAAGCTAATTATTTAGACATAATTATTAATTGATTAAGTTTTAGTTTGTCTCACCGTCTCTGTAAGCTTGTTCATATTTTTTGTTCTGAATCTGAGTAAATGAATAAGAGTCGCGATAAGGTGATAGTTAATTTCATATGACTGATTCAAAATTTGAGTAAAGAATGCGATAAGATCAGAGTTAGTTTTCATATTATCAGTTTTAAATAATCTGAGTAAAGAAGAAGGACCGTAATAAGATGACAGTTGGTTTTCACATTGTCGGTTTCGAGTTTGAGTAAAGAGAGCAGGATTGTGATAAGATGACAGTTGTCTTCAGATAACCGGTTTCAAACTCTGAGTGAAAAAAGTCTTCACATTATTGGCTCCAATTAAATCTGAGTAAAGAGAAGCGTAGCGACAAAGTGATAGTCAACGTAAAACTAATTGATCATGATGAATACAATTATTATGGCTATTGTCGAGACGTGCTCTTTTATGACGTATACGACGTTAAATTATACAGTGTTAAATAGTCAAATATAGTCTATGAGAATTTATTTACTCTATTTATGATGAATGATGATTCATATAGCCGATTTGAATTTTTACATTTGATTTGCTTAATTCCTTTATTACGAATAACTATTATCAATGGAGATAGATTTAAAAAAGGGAAAATGAATAAATATACCCTGAGCTATCGTAAATGGTATGCATACCTTTTGTCAAACTTTTGACACATTGGTGCCCCTGTCGTCCAAAAACTAGAGCATGTATACCCTTTATACTAACGGAACACGTGTCATAATCGTATCTACCGACCCGACATTTATTAAATATCGGATCGATGGATAAGATTGTGTCACGTGTCCCTATTTAGTCTTCCGTTAGAGTGAATGATATATATACTCTAGTTTTTGAATGACAAAGGCATCAATGTCCTAAATATGATGGAGGGTATGTGCATACCACTTGCGATATTTTGGAGGTATATTTATTATTTTTCCCTTAAAAAAAAGAGAGAAGAAGAAGAGATACGACAAACGATTGTAATAGTTAACTTAATCAATTTATAATGAATTTTCATAATATAATTATTATTGAGACATGTTCACTTTAAGGCATATTACAACAAATATTGAATTATTTTTTACAAACATAAATATTAGTAAGACGTGATAAACTAAGTAAACGTTACCATATGAGATGATTTTAAATAACAAAATATGATGATAAAAAAAATTATATAGTCCATCCAAACTTTTGGAAGACAAAGAAGTATTATTATTTTATTTTATTTGTCTTGACAGGAAAAGATAAAAAATAAAAATAAAAAGTAGCTACATATTTATATTCATATCAAAAATAACAAAATTCTACAAAATGATACTCGAGTTAAATCATAAAAGATACGTATGATTTATACATTAGCTCTCTAAGTATATCATGTTTTTATTTATTTAACTTATTTATTGAGAACATGAATTCATTAAGTTAAGTATCATATACTAATGGCATGTGTTAAAAATCTTTAATTATTAATTAATGGCGTGTTTAGAAGATGTTATTAAGTATCAAATATTAATTGATTTATATCAAGTTGTTGTTCTGTGATCAAAATATTAGAAAGTTCAAGCTATCAAAAAGAATATTCTATGAATTTGACATATATATCTGGTGATAGAAGTATCCTATATTACATTACGAAATGAACCTCGATCGTTGCATCTAATAAGATAGCAAATACCAATATTAGTCTGATTTGTTTTATTCGATCGATATCCGTATTAGAGCTCGACTAATCACGATTCATATTCAGTAGAAAACGCTCCCTATCAAACAAATTCTTAGCTATGACTCTTAGAGAGAAATAGCCTCATTCGCTACACTGCATATTTTTAGCAGTGGAATATGTTCCTTTTAAACCACCTCACGTTTAATAGAACTAATTCTGTTTTACCATAGCCATAAAATATTGAAAATTAATATAAAGAAAATATAAAAGTATTCACATTTAAAATTGGCACCAAAAAAAGAAAAAAAAATACCGTAAATAAATGATGAGATTCGTTTTTAGAGTGTTTTAGACGTAAAAGGTCATAAAAGATTAGTTGATAAAGAATGTATACTTATAATTGAAGTATAATTAGTTTATTATTAGTTTTTTTAATGACCATTTTATTAAGTATTAATTTTTAAAAGTCTTAATCAGTAAAATTGTAGTTAAAAATATTTTTGGTAACTTAAAATTTTTTGAAGACAAAATTTTAAAGTCTAATCAAGTGTCATGGTCAAACAAATATTTGAATATAAATTTTCAAAATCAATTAAATTTTATGGTCAAACACCTATTTGAAGATAAATTTTCAAAACCTCGAATTCTATTTGATTTTATGGTCAAATAGGAATTTGAATATAAAATTTTAAAATCTGATCAAATTTCATGGTCAAACATATTTTTGAAGATAATTTTTGAAATTAAATAAAAAATTTATAATCAAATGCTAACTTAGTTTAAATCATAAAATTCAAAAATAATCTAATTTTTTTTTATATTCAGTCAAACTAAGACAGATAAATTAAAATAGGCAAGATGATAAACATTGGTGGGTATATTTTGTGATTACAATAAACATTTGAAAATGAATATATATAAACCAACAAGATGGAGTACCAACACAGCTCTATAAAGTTGTACTAATAGTATAAAAAATTGTACTGTACCATTAAGCCCTATTCAATATTGAATAAACACGTGTCCTTCTACATGCTTTGGTTTTCAATTATTTGCTATGGTTGTTTCAATACATTTCGATTTTTCATTCTCATTCCTACTCTTGGCGGAGAAGTCGAAAAAGTGACTTAGAAATGAAGGTATTACATTTTCGGAGAGAAAGAGCAAATTGATGGAAAATTAGTCCCCCAACTGGAACATCAATTTGGTGATGAAATTTCTCATTTAAATTGGAGGTAATCTTTCAGTCTAATCGTAAATTCCTGTGTTTCACTCAAAGGTTAGTACTAAATATATCTGATAATCATTTTTGAAGATTTCCCTCCCCTTTTTTCTCCGCAATTTTATCCTATTGATAAGTTGGAGATTTGGCAACATTTTTACCTTTTTTTGATTCATTATTTTCTGGCATTCTCAGCTTATTTAACTAATTTTTGATTGATTAGAATCTGTTTCGTTCATTTGCATTCTCGATTTAGCTAAGTTATATTCAATTAATATGCATTTCTCCTGGTTCCATAGAGATAGAAGTGTGCAATGTGCGCTATTAGGACAGAGCTTATATGAGCATTTTTTTGTGTCTTTGTGCTCGACTCACTGGCTAAGATTGTGCATATACAAGGTCACCACACCTGTTTTGTTGAACCTCTATCCACATTCACAGGTACATCGAGTTTATTGTTAACTTGTTCCTCATAAGACTAGAAAAAGAGCTTGCTTGATCAGATTTCTCTTCAAGTGTTATAGCAGCTGCATCACAAGTTTGATGAAACTTTTCAAATATGATTGAATCCGCCAATGTTCTTTATTTGTTTCTAAAGTGAAGGCTGCAAAAGTTACCTGACCTGAAGGAGAAGTGAGTTTCTTTTCTGAAATATCATTATATGTTCACGTAGGAGAAGTAAACTATTGATGGTTGACTTGTGATTGGTGATAGTTCATAGTTCAGTGATGAAATTCAAATATCGAATACTTAAGCTGGGATTTTGATCATTGACTGTTTGTTTCTCATTTCTTGCACAATGATTGTTTGGTAGTTCCCTATTAATGAAATAATAGTGTATATGAACTTGCAGGGATTTTATTGTGAATTATAATCTTCCAAACTACTTATTTTGGCTTATCCGGGAGGTGATGGATAGATGTGAAAAAGGAAAGTTAGTGTATGACTCATGTTGGATGGAATTATCAATATTACAAACGGTTGCAAAACACTTTCAAAGTTATTCATTTATAATTATTTTTCACAATTATATCAAGTAAAAACATCTTTTGCTAAGTTTTTTTGGCAGAGTCCATGCAAACATGCCTTCGATTTAGATTGTGTCACGAGGAGTTCTCTCTGCTTACTGTAAGGTGCATATCCCGTTTCTCCATTTGTATGAGTACATTATTTTTTGTAGAACAATAATAACAATCAATACCATAGATCCATAACTATAAGTTGCTTATTAAAAATATAGCAATAACAGAAAAGGCAAGATTCTTACCTCTTCTTTGCCAACTACTACAGACATCTCCCATATTTGATTCATGTAATTGTACCCAAGGTCAGAAACAAATGTACAAAGAACTTGAAGAACCTAACAATACTCTTATTGTTATAAACTCTATTCTTCCCCCTATTACAAGTTCGATAGCACTACAAGAAAGAGCAAAATTGTATGATCATTTGAAGAAAATAAAATATGTAGCTTTTGAATTCTGCATAAAGGATTTGTTTTTATCACTCCAATGCTTCTATGAAAATTTTCTTACTAGGAGCACCGAGCACACTAAATCTCCATCCAAAGAAATAATAGTAATGAGAATCTTAGATGAATTGTCAATTTTCTATTCTTTGAAAAGTCTAATAATTTAAGTATTTAAGAATTTTAACAAGTTTATCCTCTCTTAAAATTTTGTTGAGGACTGTTTTAACAAAGAAAAGTCTCATTGACACCGCACCTTCTTTAATAATTCTGTTTGAGCATTAAAATGAAGATATTTTTTGGATGTTAATGGAAGTCTTTAACATCCTTGCAGAGTAATTACAGAAAGAAAGAGGCAATGTATTAAGAATGTATCCAGTGCCACTTCAATCAAGTAAGTTTCACTTTTTTCTGGTGATTATTTTTATTTTATTATGTTATATGTGGAATATGGATGGAGAGATTTTATATACACCCTCTTTTTATTTGTAGACATCTTAATATATCCAGCCATTTTTTCAGGAGTTTACTCTAACTACTACCATGTCATGGGAGATGAAAACTCACCAAGGATTTGATTCCTTTGTGATTCAAATATCTTTGGTATACTAACTAATTAGTACTGTTGGATATCCTTGATCACGTATAATTATGTTGTTGAGTGAGGCAAGTGATCAAGAAAAACAATCAAATTCCAGAAACAGAACAAGGAGGAGCAAAACCATGAAAAAGCTAAAAATCATTCAAATTCCAGAAACATAACAAGGAGGAGGAGGCCAAACCATGAAAAATGATTGATTTCAGATTCTCTAATTTTCAAGACTTAAGGTACAATTTCACATACCTTTTTCAGGCTTTTAAAACTGTAGGTCTCTTTTTCTTCAAAACGAACCATAGTGTTCTATTTTGAATGGTGTTGTTGTATTGTTTAGTAGTTATTCTTGGATAGAGGTTGCAGTTTTAGTATAAGATACAAAAAATTTAACATACTTCACCTGTAGATTCGACTTTTATGAGTGATCTAAATTTCTTCTGTTATTTTTGTATTGTCTGAATTGCAACTTTTGATATGATAGTGGCAAGCAATAACTCGACACCATATATAGTTTTATCATATACATAATAATAGCAGTTCTGGGACTGAGAGAATGATCATACAATAAGAGACTAATGATGGTTAGGAATGATTTGGTAATATTCTTTCCCTTGATGAAGTATTATGTGTGATTTTGACACACATAATATGTAATGAAGAAGGTTTTACATACTATGCGATCATGCATATGGGATAGGCTTTGCTTAAAAAAATTGTTGTTAAACTTGTCATTTATTGAATTGAAAATCTTAAGTGAAGAGTAGTAAACTTAAATGAAAGGATACAAACATAGCTATAACATGCTTTTATCTCTGTCATACACTCAAATTATTAATGTTAGAGGTAAGGCTAATGGTCTAACAGATCCATGTACTCCGTTCCTCTATATCATTGTTTTTAGTTTACTTAGTTGTCCATTGTCGTTTTATTAGATTCAGAAGCAACTATGTTTATGTGCAATAATTTAGTTTTACTTGGTTGTGCATTGTCAAATAGCATACTGAAATATATGATCTTTAGGAGGATAAGAAAAAAAATTGTCCATAATATCTTAAGACTGCTTCATGTTAAGGATAGTCAAAGAGGAAATAATGTGATTGAGATAACACATGTAATTTTATTTTTCCCTCTATTTTTTGTTAAGATAAATGGAAGTCCAGAGATAAATTCTTCCCTCCATATATCATTTTACTTGTCACCTAAAAATATATCACTTTCTTATGAATTTATCTTGAGTAGAGATTTTGGCTCAATTTTGCTGCTTAAACTCCAGCAAATGTGTACCTTTATAAGCTGTTTGTAGTGTAGATAGCAAGTCAAGTCGGTAAAGATGGAAGTTGGCTTTTAAAAGAACTCTACTTATTTTTATCACCTTGATATAAATAAATATGCAGTTTGCCCAAATAAGAAGTTGATATACTTAACAAGAATTTTTGGTGTGTGCACTTTCCAATAATTTGCAGGAAATAACAAATGGTAATGTCTGGGTACAGAAGAGTAGATATGTAGAAAATGTTGGAAATTTGATGCTCTCCAAAGTACATTAGATAGTCCAGATGTGTTGGTTGACACATTAATAGTAATGTCTGTAAATGCAGGTTGTTTCCAACAACTTTGAGCATTCTCCCTTTCTTACTTTTTGATTATTTCGTTTTGGTGTAAATTTGAGTCAATATTTTATGTGCTCTACCTTATCAATGATTTTGGAGTGAATAAATTTTATTTCCATACTTGATCATCCCTTTCGTTAATACATATACACAACTTGATTAAATTGTTTCTTTGCGATAAAAATAGCTGAATAATTTTCAGCATACTCTATTATTTATCGAGACCAAATCAACTATGTTGGACCCACGGGCCATGCCGTTCTAGTATACATATAAAAGAAAAAGGTTACCACATGTCACAAATTACACTTTCACCATTTTGTTTTGGGCCCACATGGTCATGTGGCATCCACATAGACTTTTATGCCCGTCCCGGCCCAATATAATATGTTTGTTTCACAAATAGTAAGAATATTTTTATTTCCTTTAAAAAGTAAACAATTATTTTCTTAAGGGAAAAGGGTCTGATATACCCCTTAACTTTGTCATTTAGAGCTGATATACCCCTCGTTATGAAAGTGGCTCATATATACCCCTACTTATACACAAATGGCTCACATATACCCCTTTCCTCTAACGGAAATGAAAAAAAATTAATTTTAGATTAATTTTTATATAAAAAAAATATAATCCCATATGAGTATATTTAATTCTCCTCAAACATATTTTTTTTTTACTTTTTTTTGTTTTAATGACTAATTTAGATTTATTATTTTGATGGTCAAATTTATTTATGTTTCACTAATATTCTTGTAAAACTTATTATAGATGACCAAATTTGTTTCTTCAAATACAAAAATTAAATTACAATATAGACAAAAAAAATAATTTTAAATTATAATATAGCCACAAAAAATTAGTTTTAAATTAAAAATAAAATAAGAATAAGAAACTCAAATAGTTATAATCAAAAAGTCAAAAAATAATTTATGTATGAAAAAGATTAAAATATATCTTGAACTTTGCTAGAAGAATCATCTATACCCCTAAATAATTTTTAAGAAAATTAAAAGTCAAAAATATAAATTTAAAAGTAATTTTTTCACTTCCGTTAAATGAAGGGTATATGTGAGCTCATTTTATAACGGTAGGGGTATATGTGAGCCGTTTGTATAACGGTAAGGGTATATATGAGCCACTTTCATAATAAGGGGCATATTAGCTCCAAATGACAAAGTTGAAGGGTATATCAGGTCCTTTTCCCTTTTCTTAATTATACGTTATAATAATAATAATAATAATAACACACTAGATGTAATTTCATAAAATGGAATATAGAGAGGGTATTGTACATAGACCTTATTTTTACCCTAAAAATATAGGTTGTTTCTAATAGAACATCAGCTTAAGAAAATATTAAAAATGATAAAGCATTATACACAATAAATAAATATATAATTAAAAGATAACCGAAGTACAAAATTGGCATATAATAATAGAAATCAAGGAACATGAAATTACATGAATAATACTACGACTACTCATATAGATAAACAAGACCATATTCTACTACCTACTAGGCTACTACCCTCCACTTTGGAGTATTTGTGCATCTCCTCTCTTTACATGTTCAATCACATCAGTCTCGCTTCTCGCATCTTTTCCTTCTCTAAAGCAACTTTCATGTTCTCTTGGATATCTTCATTTCTAATTCGATCTCTCCTAGTATGTCTACACATCCATCTCATCATCTTTATTTTCTGCAACTTTCGTCTAAGAGTTCTTAACTCGCTAACACTCTACTACAACATAATTGGTCTAACAACCATACTATAAAAACTTCCATAAGTTTTGATGACACTGCTTTATCTTATAAGGGTGAGCCTCTATTTCATCCAACCTACACCAATACGATGTCTGACATCATCGTAAATCTCCACATATATGAACTATGTTGCCTAGAGAAACTTTTTGATGACCTAACCAAGAATTACAATAATAACATACTGAATATGAATTCATAATTGAAGTATATGTGGAATATAGAGTATACATAGTTATTCTTATCTTATGTGAGGCAAAAATGTTGTTTTCGATAGATTTCCTGTTAAAGAAAAAATGAGGGCCTATTAAAAACAATATTTTTACCTCTAAAATAGGGATAATGTATGTGTACATTCAACCCTTTCTACGCTTCACTTTGTAGAATTACACTAATATGTTGTTTTTGTTCTTATTGCCTCTACTCAAGAAAAACATTTTCGAAATAAATTTGGAAAACACAAAAGCCAATAAAGCTCTGATAAAAACAACTTACATATTAAAAAGTATATTAACAATAAAATAGTGAAATAATCAAACAAAAAGAAATAAAGCACCATGAACTAATTGGACTAATTAAAAGTATGCATTGGAAGTAAAAATTGTTACTTATATTATATGCAACATGTTGCTATAAACAACATTTTTTTTGTTTTTTTTTCTAGTAGATAACAACAAAGATTCATGATGCAAAGGACAAATTCATAAAATGTTACTTCCTCGTTCAATAATAATTGTCCAGTATATCATTTTAAGATGTCCAATAATATTTGTCTACTTAATCAACAAATAAAATTGCACAATAATATAATGAGGAATGTTCTTAATTACTTAATCTATCAAAAACTAGTATTATACTCCTAATCATCCTTAATTATCCCATAAATATACTCTATATAGTAAATGTTTTTGTCATCACGGATCATTTGGTTTGTAGTAAATGTTTTTATCTTTACGCAAATTAGATGAGAATACTAATTAAATGAACCATAAAAATAGTAAGATAATTAAAGCGAAAGAAATATACTAACCTTTTCTTTTTTTACTTTTTATGAGTTAATCAATGATGACTTTTTGAAAGTATTTTGAAACAATAATTGAAATTTATTCCCTAGTTAGAAATGCCGTGATGCAAAGGGACAAATATTTTTCATAGGATGAAGAATATATAAAGTAGAAATTAATTAATGGAAAAATTGTTTGGAACTTTCTAATTATTGTTAATTAAAGAGTAATTATTAATGTAACAACTTGAAAAACAAAGAAATAATTAGGTTTTGTCTTAATCAAAACACTCACGAGAACTATCAAGAGAATGTAAACATTTTTGAATGAACAAAAAAGTCATTATAGTTTGGAGCGCACAAACTGTATCGTGCATTCTTAAGAAATTTAATTGTTTCATTATAATAAAATAACTTAAAACACTCGCAACGATTACCGGTGGCGGTGTTATATTATGCCTATATAGTTTGGAGAATTTAAGCTCATATAAAAGTAAATTCCTATATTTAGTAGTACCGTTTCAATTTTTTAAACTTTCCCTTTTGTCGAGATGATATATATTTAAATATTTTGATTTATTTTAGAACACAAATTTTCTTTTTAAAAAAATAATCTTTTATTCCTAAACTTTAAATTCAATGACATATAATCACATAAATTAAGACGAGAAGAGTATTAGTTAGTATGAAAGAATTCAACATACGTATATAAATTCAAAAAATTAGCAACGATAAATTTCCTTATCATAAAAAAGAAAAAGGAAAAAAAATTCAACATATGGCAACATTGCCATATGCTTCACTTTGGCAAAGGATAAACGAGTTTTCGAAAAGAAAATTAAAACTTATATTTTGCTAAAAATAAAATAAAATATATTACTGCAAATACTCTTAACATATGTGTCGTCTATTTTGGATTAATTTTGTACTCCCTTCGTTCTCATTTAGTTGCCACCATTTTTATTAGGTTTCACGTTTCTTATGAAACTAAGCAAATTAATCATTTTTATTAAGTTTCACATTCTCTAGAAGTCAAATTTTCAATAAATAAACATAAATTAGTTTATTTCTAATAAGAACGAGATATAAATAGAAACATAAAAAGTATGGTTTTTGTTTATTAGAAATCATTACAGATAAATTTTATGGGGAAAAAACTCAAATATGATGTCAACTTAAAAAAAAACGTATATATATAATTCGTTAAAAGTTTAGCCCGCAAAACCCCAATCACAATGATCAATCATTAGTTTGTCAGATTTTCCTCTGGCAAAACATGTTGATTGGCTCTTTTACTGTCACGACCCAACCCACTGGGCCGTGCGGGCACCCACTCTAACACCTAAGTAGGAGAATCTTCATACCCAACAATTAGAAGACATGCGGAAATTAAAGGAAACGAAGGCGAATTAAGGAAATTAATAATTACTCCAAATGAGAAAACAACTTTAATAACTATAGTTTTACAACCCCCAAGGACCTAGTCTGACAAGCACAAGAGCTACTAAGAACAATAACTGCTCTAAATAATCAAAAGACACAGCTTTCACCATGTGGAATGAAACGTCGAAGCTGCTGGAGGATTTCTTCGTCTTCACATAATGGAACATCATCATTAATCCTGCATCCAGACTATGTCAAAAAGACATACCAAGAGTAGTATCAGTACAACCACACGTACTGGTAGGCATCATCGGTCAATCCGACGCCCACCTCATAATATATATAAAAAAAAAAGGATCATGTCTGGACCGCTCTCTTCTCCACTCTCCAATTACCACCTATCTTCTTTCTACGAGATCGCTCTTCCTCAACGAGTCAAACCTATGCAATTATCTACACACTATACTGCACTCATATGTAAACTCCTAGATTTCACTTACACCTAACCTCATTAATCATGAACGTAATCATCCCAATATATGCACATCACGATATCAATATAACATGTTTCACCATACACATTTATCACAAGTAGTTGGCCCTCTCACGGGACCCAAAGTCAAACTGTTAGCATGTGGGAATGTGGCAATTCGATTCAATTTTTATGTCGAACGTGGCAATCGATCCCATAAGTTAGCATGCTGAAACGTGGCAATCCGATCCCAATCACACATCACAATCATAATAGCACATCAAGATCACACATTCAACATTTATGATCAATATTTTCACACGCGTACATATACAAGCATCACAATAACGAGAGAACAAGTATGTATCACACATTCGTAAAATCACACCCATCACCTACGAA